AAACTTAAGAAATCTGATCTGTGTGTTTTCTCCAGCGCATTTTTTATGTGGTAGATACTTTTTAATCCAGCTCCAATGTTGTTTACGTTTTGGAAGGCCTCTTGCAGCCAACAAGACAAAACAGAGCAGCGGGATCCCGTTCCAGCGAGACAGAGGTGCCCTTTGGGGGCACAGGGCGAAGCAAACGCCGCCGCGCTTGCGAGGCAGAGCTCACCGCCTCACACCGGGAGGGAGCAGCACCCGAGACCCTCAAGCACATCAAACACACAGAAAGGCAGGCTATGGAGCCAGCTGGGTGCACGCATCGGCACCCTGGGGCAGATATTTAGCATCATAGCTAACCCCCATGGAGCTTTCTTAAACACACAGCAACCGCCGTGTGTGACTGCAACAATTCCGCCTATTCCGGGCTCCTTGAGCGAAGCTCGGCCAAGGTTTTTCAGTTGTCTTATGATATGACCAACCAGTAGCAAAGTAKGAGCCAAATATACCCCTAAAAGGTTAAAGGCTAATAAGTTATCTACTTTTTGCTGCTTTTCCTGCACTCTGCCTTGCYAGACACTTGCCATTTACAGGCAATGATATTATCTGCGCTGTCAGCTCCAACTGCAAGTCGAAAAAATTGCTTGTTGAGCACCTTTCAAAACCATGCCTGGTCACATCCACCATATGGGAACTATATGCTTCATGCACATGGACAGCAAAGCCAGAATCTTTTGTYGGTTTTGGGTCCATCTATATGCTTTGACTTTGTATCTCTGCACACAGGACATCTGTGTAAAAACACAAGCAAACAGGCAAGCAAGTTATTCATATACTGAAGTTTTCCATGTAATAGAGAGATTCCAAATGGTTCCCTCTTTACATGAGGAATTAAATGTATTAAGACAGAAAACCAGCTTGCCTTATTGCTTTAACGTGTCAAACATCTTGAATTCATGTAACTTACAGGTCAAAAATTCAGTGTAACTTCCGGGTGCCGCAGCCACCGAAAGCTGCTGGAATCCATCGGAAAACTTCGAGCTGTTCCTTGCCTTCACGCTCATCAGCTGCAACAGGGCTGCTGGAAGCGGGAGCTGGCGGCGGCTGTCAGTGATGGACGAGCCGAGGACAGAGCTCGCCCTTCCCCAGCGCTATCCGGGCGGCACTTGCCCGCGCACACACAGGCACAACGACCCTGTCCTTAGCTCCCCAATGCACCAAGGCAGCACGCAGGAGCAGCTAACGAGGCCATAACTGTGTTTCAACAGATGTCCGGTTCAATATTACCAGTGATACACTCACTCTGGAGCTGAAAATCCACTCTATTTATTTGGACTGCAGTTTTACCTCAGCCAAAAAAAAAAAAATCCACATGGTGCACACGAACAGGCCAAATGCTAGGAAATGTGGGCAACTCCCCTGCTGTTCACAAACACTAATGCCCAAACCCAAGCACATTCCCCATTACAAAAACAGAGGCAAAATTCCAAATCCAAAGTGCAGCTATCGGGGTTAGGGACAACTAACAATCCTTGAMGGCATTACCTTTTGGAATAACACTCTGTGCTACCCTCCATCTGCAGCTACTGTTTTGTTACAAGATATGCTGTTCTCCCAAACAACTGCACCCTTTTTCTTTTTTTCTTTTTTATAATTCAACTTCATAGCAGGATATCCAGGCTGAAAGGGCTGTGGCCTGACAGGAAAGGTTGGAAAACTGATTAGAAGGCACGACATGTCATCAAGATATCAACACTTGCTCCCAAACAGCTCAAACCCTTCCCAACGTGTACAGGGGCAGCAATAAGCGGCACACACTTCTTCCACTGGACATGGTACAAAGCACACTCTGGGCAAGCTGGCACTAAATAAATGTTCCTGAGAAATGTTCCTGGTTCTCTTGCCAGCTCAGGAACTTGTTATTTCTTTGCTCCCTCTGGACACGGCCTCTCTGTGCAACTTTCCAAAGATGATGAGATCCCTGGGGTGACCCGCTCTTCTTTGGGCTTTCATGTTTCTGCTACATATTAATTATAACACTCATTTTGCATTACCTCTGAAGACATCAAAATTGCCCTCAAACAATATTCCAAAACAAAATTAATTAAAAAAAAAGCTGCAAATTCTCAGCTCCACCATAGCTGTTGCCATAGGAATCCAAGCTTTCGCTTCACGTTTGGTCTGACCTCAAAGCAGGGCTTGGATTAATCCCGTGGTCCTGCCCATCCTGGGCGCCAGTAACCTTCGCTCCAGCACAGTTCCGCGCGTTTGCACTTGTACTGCACGTGCTGCAGCTCTGCCCTGTTCCAGCACTTTGCTATCGAGGGGAGAAGGCCGCCAGCTGGGGAGGAAGGAGCAGAACTACGGTCTGCCTCCAGCTCAGCCGCCTCTCTGCTGCTGGGAAAAAGGGAATATATGGATAGCACYGCTCCTCCTCAGCCCTGCTGTGAGACACAACCACAGCACAGCAGTGCCAGGCTAGACAAATAGCCCAACAATTCCGGTGCACCGTGATTTGGGAACTGCATGCATCTGCTACTGGGATACTGGAGAGGGATACACGGCCTTTCCTCCAGCATTTCTCCTCAATTCACAAATCCAACAGCTCTGCAATTAAAGCACTTTTCCTCAAACTGTAAAAAAGAAGAAAAGCATCATAGCAGGTGGGCCGTTCTTCTGCCTTTCACATCAACACTTCTGAGTTCACGCCAACAGCTCTTCTGTTTAAAGCATTTCCCCTAGAAAGGGGAAGGAAGACACCAAAGAGGCATCTCCGGGTTGGYGTTCTGTGTTGAGTTAGCTCACGCCTGCCTAAGCCGGCACGAGGCAGGGCACTGTGGCGGCGAGCTGGCTAAGCCCACGTGGCCTCGCTCTGCCGCCGGCTGCAGGTTCGGGCAGGAGGGRGCCACATGCGGCCCGTCTGTGCAAAGGGAGGGCAGTCCAGTGCCGCCATCGTCACCCAGCGCGGGAGGAGCCTTCCAGGGGCCCGAGTGCCAGGGAAGGCACCTTCCTTGCTGCCCACAGCCGGAATAGCAGGGCTGAGCTGGCGATGCGGTGCCGTGGTTCTCGCCACAGGGGCTCTGCCCGCAGCGGGGTGCCACACACAGCTCTGCACCCTGCAATCACCTCTGTTCAATGCTTGGAACTATATTGTTCTATCRAAAGATAGCCCTGCAAAATAAACTTGATTTTTTTTTCTATTTAACTAAGAAACTTCAGCGGGTCAGAGGAGCTGACGCTGCCTGGATGCTGCATTGGTACAGAGAAGTCAGCAAGGGCTCTGCAAGCGCCTCAGCCGCTAGACTGACGTGTCAAGAAGAATGAAAGTTGCCTTAAGTAACCCATGTCCTGAGGTGCAGCTGCCAGGGCGAGCGAGCCAAGCACTCCAGTGAGCGCGAGGATCTSGGGAAGCAAAGGCACAACTCACAATTACACGCGCCGAGCTCCGGAATTTCTCGGGAAGGAGTGGATGCCGTGGCGGGGCCGCACCAGCGTGCTCAGTCCTTGCAGCAGCCTTGTGCAGCAGCAGGCCTGTGCACCAGACCTTGCTTTCCCACATAAACTCCACATTTAATGAGCTATACAGTCTGAGACTCYCAAGTACAAGGCTACATGACGGCGCCCTCCTCCCTTTCTTTTAGAAAAAAGTATTATTTCAGATCAGAATCAGCACGTCCCGTTCCAAAGCAGAGCTTTGAACAGAACTACCAGTCACCACCCTCCAAATTTAGAGGCTCTGCAACAGCTAGTGAATGTGCCTACCACCACCGCGAAACCAAAAGTGACAAATACTTGAAAAAAAAACCTATTAACTTGTTTCCTGTAAGACAAGATTTGTAAGAAAGGCCTGTAAATTTGTCCATAAAAACATAGAATACACTTGRAAAACACACACTCACAGAAGACCTAAAAAAAAGGACAAAACCTTTTTTTCTCTGCACAGGTGACATTTACAAGTCTTACAAAAACAAGCAAAAAAGGGTTGCAATGAAAAAGCTCTAACAATCAGTAATACATATACACAATACATTCATTTCTCTAAGCAGTGAATAAATATCTACTCATGCTAAGGACAATAAGAAAACAGAAATTGTCCAACAGTGGAAACACTGTATTTTTGTGAAAAAAAAAATCTTAAACTTCACAAAAACAAGCTCTGAAGATGACCTGGTTATAAGTTAGTTTCAGCTAAGGTGGTAAGGACTCCCTAAGGAAACTGCACAACTGGATAGGCAAAAAACTGGCAGGTTGGTCTTTAAAAGGTATTGATTCATGTGCTGTGCTCAGCTGCTGCAGGGGTCTGTCCTGGGAGCTGCTGAGTATCTGAGGAGAGGATGGAACACATCCGCATTCAGTGTGAGGGATTCAGAGGGACCTAGGGAGGCTGAAGAAAGGGGCTGATGGGCACCTCATGAACTGCAAGAAGCATCAATGCAGACTTGCACCTGAGAAGAAATAACCACATGCAACCACATAGACTGGGCTGGGTCAGCTGGCTTTGCTGAGAAGGCCCTGGGGGACGGGGCTTAGCAGTGTGCCCTGGCTTTGACTCAATGATTCCCTCTCCCCCATCTTGTATTAACAGAGGAAGGTTCACTAAAGTGAAGATCGTTGCCATTTCAGAGCCTGAAACCAGTACCTGAACCTATTTTGAGCAGCTTTGCTTGCACAGCCTGTGCAGTGCAAGAGAGAACCAGCCCTTGCACTGGAGCCTCTCGTAGCAAGGAAACACGGTGTTCATTAGCCACTTCATTTTGCCTCCAAGAGTGTGTGTAAGCAAAAGTTGCTCTAATTAAAGAATCACTAAGAAATGCAGACTCCAAGGCTTAATGAAGCATTACAAATACCTAAAAAAAAAGAATTAATCTTGTAATTGAGTTGGCTGGAATGCTTTCCTGCATGAAGGCAGCCACGTGTAGTTATTTCCCTGGGTAGAGATCTTCAGCCTGAAATACTGAATCTTCTGCAGGGGCATAAATGGCAATCGTTCGTAACGAAGTCATAACATCTCTACGTACCATATCAAGGTCTTGGGAAACCCTCCGCTTGCGGAGCTCTTCCATCCTTTCACACACATCTGTGAAGCAGGTGTTGTAGTAGTCTGCATACTGCTGGGCCAGGTCGTCAATATTTCCCAGGGACCCATCCTAGAGCGGAGACAAAAAAGGAGGAAAAAGAGAGATTAACGAATTTTAAAATTGTAATTTAAAAGTAATATCACAACGACCATCGCCCTACGGCCGCCACGGCGGGGGCAGGCGCTTCAGCGACTCCTGACCTTTGTGCATGCCGAGCAGCCCCGKGCTCCTGCACAGCAACCAAGAGCCACTTTTAAACACGGAGCTTCTCACCCATAGGCACCATCAGCCTCACCACAGACCCCGCCAGCTAAAAGGCTGCACGGACAAGTCGGTGCCACCCACAGCCGCCCTCCCAGCTGCGCCTCTCACACGCGCTGCGGGCGGAAACATGAGGTGCTCAGTCCCAAACGTCCCCACCGTCGGGCGAGGTAGCGATCCCACTAATACAAGGGATATGGCCAGGGCTTGGGGGCATTCTGGTGCTAACCACTGCCAGAATGAGAAAACAAAACAAAATGGCAATATCAGGCGAGACTTCTTCAAGTGGAGTGGCCAGAACCACCGGTGCCCTAAGCGGCAGGAGGCGGCGCGGCCCAAGCCATGTTCCGCACACACATCCACTGCAGGCCCATGCGGAGCATGCGGGAGGATGGCTTTGTTTCTTTTTGAGTTATGCAAAAGCCCGCATGTTAGCGTGTATGTTCCTCAAAGGTGAAACGCTACGCTTGGTGCATGTTCTGAGAAATGAACAAGGATACTGTTAACTCGCGGTTGCCATCTCTGAMTATAGGCAACACACACAAATTTAAAGTTATGCCTTGAATATGAAAAAGCCTAAGCGATTGGGAAGCCATTTAAAAATAATTACACTAGTAATGTAGTTGCAATGCAACTACAATGCAACTTTATTATATGAGCTATGAAGACATCTTTTCCTTAGAAAGTGTACCTTACTGAAGCATTTGCCATGTGAAAACCTCTATGTGGTTGTCTTCTGTGGATTCTCCCCCCATTCTAATGAAGTATCACTTCCACAGCACTGGTAGAATCACATCCTGATTTAAAATCGAAGTGAAAGCCTATTAAACCAGACCTTCRGCAAAACAGGTTTCTGCTTCTCCAGAGCATGTTTCCACACGCTCAGCTGGTGCCTGCAGTCCCCCRGGAAGTTTTGTAGAGTTCATGGTCCCCAAACCTGGAACAATTTGCAGCTTTTTTTTTTAATGACTGGGTATGGTGCAGATGGAAAACAACTTGCAGGCCTCTTGTTAAAGTAGCAGTAGCAAATTAGTTGTATTAAAAAAAGAAAACATAAATCTGTGTACATAGCCCACTGTACAAGTCTTCTACCTCTCAAGCTGCCAAAGTTCTCAAATAGGAGATACTTTGAAAGCTACAAAAAGCTTCTTGCCTAGAGAAGACTGAGAGGAGATCTGAGCAACTTGTSTAAGTACCCGAGGGGAGAATGTAGGGAGGAAGGGGCCAAGCTCTTCTCAGTGGTGGCCAGTGACAGGACAAGAGGAAATGGGCATAAGCTGAAGCACAGGAAGTTCCATCTCCATGTGAGGAGGAACTTCTTTCCTGAGCAAGGGTGCCAGAGCCCTGGCACAGGCTGCCCAGGGAGGCTGTGGAGCCTCCTTCTCTGGAGATCTTCCAAACCCGCCTGGATGCCGCCCTGTGCCCCGTGCTCTGGGTGTCCCTGCTGGAGCAGGGGGTTGGACTAGGTGATCTCTAGAGGTCCCTTCCAACCTCAACCATCCTGTGATTCTGGGATACAAGAGCTTCAAATCAGCCACRAGGCTGATTGTTTGGCCTAAATGCCCTTACAGGAGCAGCTCTGCCCTTTCTCCCAGCTGGGTCCTCCCAAGCCACCGCTGCAGAAYGAGCCCTTAAGAAACTGTGACTTTCCACCCGTGCCGCGAACGCTGCTCAGCTGCCCACGGCACCGGGCCTCGCCGGCACAGAGCTGCTCTCACAGGGTTTATGGGCTCACTGGGGCTTGCCAGCCCCACCACATCGGGGAGGGAAACAGATACCAAGCACCAGCTTGCGTTAACATAAGCTATGCAACAGAAAACCTTCTGGTTTCAGAAGGCACCGTCCTAACTCCAAGACCAGACCATATACTCCCCAAACCAGGCATATCACCGCATCACAAATCCAAGCTGAGCTCAGGAGCCCAATGAGCTTCCCTGGAAGCTGAGTGTCGGTTGGCTGGGGAGTGAGGAAGGCTCCACAGCCGCTCTCCTCACGCCGTAACTCACAGCACGCCCGGCACTGCCAGACCAAACCCAGCCTAGTTTTGACTGGCAGGCCAAACTCAGCCCGGTTCCGGCGCGGAGCTTGCGGAGCAGCAAGCGCTTTGTTACCGGCGACCGCGGCAGGCGGGAAGACTCGGGGTGGCACCCGGAGCGAGAGCAGCTCCGCTTCCGCCGCCATTAGGCCTCGGAGCGCCGAGAGCGCAGCCGGCGCCACCAGCGCTCGTGAGGGCCCCATGAGCCCTCACATGCCACCGGGGCCAGACAGCGCCGGGAGGCCAGCGCCCTGCCCCGCACTGCGGCACGCAAAACACGGAATATGGATATGGATATGGAATAAATATGGAAATATTTTTTAGAATATCTAAAAATATGTGAATCTTGAGCATTCAGCTAGATAGCTCATTTGTCTTCCTTACACAGCAAAGATGGACAAAGGAATTTTCTTAAAAAAAAAAAAAAAAACTTGCATTATTAATAAAACCACATAATAAAAGCATTCATACCCAATGAATGTTTCAAAGAGATCTCACTCTGCTGCACAAAGGCCAAGAGCCAATGTCAGTTGTCATTAAGGTCCTTTTACTTTCTTGCTTTCACATACAAGCCACAACCTAGACAATAYTTAAAGTAATAGGAATAAAAGTCAAAAATCATCACTTTGTTCATTCCTCTTCTGCCTTGTAACAGTCCTTCATTGCAACAGGGAGTAACCGGACTCCAAACGGCCACTTCAGTTTCACAGATAGAAAGCAGCAGAGAACTTTTTAATACTCCTCCCCAAAAGACACTGTAATTTATTACAATTTAATTATATGTAATTTCAGCAGCCACTGAAGCGGTCTTAATTGCTTCAGGCCAGCAAGATTTTTAAAAGCAAGACTGCATAATAAACTCCTACTTTTTTGTTAGAAATTTAACAGTTAAGCAAAGCATGAAAACAGATTCGCATCAGTTGTGTTTATTGCCATGCAAACTGTAATGTTCCAGCTCCATAATCCCATTACCACAGATCTCTGCTGGAAAAAATATGTAAGTAACACAATCATTGAGTAAAAATACCATTCCTGAGATGCTTTATTTTATTTGTAAAAAGTTACAGTATGTTTCTCTTAAAACTCTCTTCTAAAAAAGCCCTAGCCCTTTTCACAAAACAGTCTGGCAGCTGGGAAAATAAACATTGCACAAGTTTTACAGGGTAGAATCGGAAATGAACATTTAATGCAGCGCTCTAATGATAACAGAAGTTATCCTGTATTTCTAGTTTTGTTTGTCAGCATGTTACTGAATTTCTATCTTATCACATATGCATGCAGCAATTTTTGGCATTATAAAGCACAGGCAAAATGATAAATTACCCTGGAATTCCCAAAGAATTAGTTCTGATCTGCATGTGAATGCCAAAGGAATCCATCAAGCTTCATGTTAATGGAGTGGCTACAAAGAGAAGCTGGAATGATGTGACACTTATTATAAAGTTACGATTTATCGGTCACTGCACCTCAGTTGGTTTAACATGCTGGCAGCAGCCTTTGTATCTGACATTTAAAAGCCTGGAGGAAAATGTTTTGTCAGAAAGCTCTGCTGGTAATAAAATTAAGTTAAAAAAAAAAAAAAGATTTCGTATTTTAAAATGATAATAATAAAATGAAAACAGGATTACCACAGAAAGAATAATGGTCTTTGCTAAGTCACGTACTCGTTCGTGCATTTGTAAAGCTGCATATGGACCTAAATATCAGGCACTGCCAGCACATATGTGCTTGATATAAGTAAGAATAAGAGTTTTAGAAGAAGCTATCTACACATCTGCAAGGAAACAGAGCTAACTGAACCTGCTCTTTGCTGTCTCAGATCCCTGGACACAGGGTAATAAGCAACACATCCCAGCCCTACTTTCTCCTATTCCAGCAGACCTGGCGCGCGGCAGCAAGGAGGTCTTGGCTACCAGACGCCCGGGCCTGCTCTGCAGCCCCCTGAGCAGCCTTCCCTGTGTAAAGGCATCCATCTCCCAAAGGTTAAAGAAGAGGCAGATGYTGCAGGCCCAAGCACAGGCCCCACGAGCGCACACCGGTGCCATGACCAGCACCCACAACAGTCACCAGCTTGGGATCCACGCCAGGTACAGCCACAGCACATGCACCAACTAGGAGAGCAGGAAAGAAGTCCTGCATTGAGGGAAAAAGTCTTATTTCTGGCTATTAAAATATATGTGGAAAGGGGAGAGATGAAAGGGGCCGCTCTTATAAAATGTGTGGCAGCTCTCCCTGGCAAAGGCTTTTGACCTTCACAGCCCAAGATGAGAAAAAATCCATTTCCGTGCCTGAAACACAGGACTACTGTGTGGAGAGTCACTGTAAACATTAGCAGCTTATTTCTGGCACTTGGATCTTAACAGGGAAGCCTACCAAAAATGTGTGGAACACGATCCTGCATTGCAGCAATACCTTTGGTTTGGATAGTTGGAAGGAGCACATAAACGAAAGCCAGGATGTGGGCCATAGCAAACAGGCTTTTTGGGTGGGGAGGAGAGACCAAAAACGTGGCGAAATGGGAACATCTGCTGAAGGGAAACATGTTTTTGCCTAATAAAAAACCAAACTTTATTCAACAGGGCTTAACCTTCAGAATGCAGCCCATAAGACCTTTAAAGTCCAGCAGCACTAGCCCACCTAAGAGGGCAGGGGCTGCTCCTGTTTCCTTGGGGTGGCTTTGAAGCAGACCTGAGTCTGCTGCCCGAGTCTTGGGGCAGGACATCCCCGCACGGCGAGCAGCCGCTCTCGGTCACTGGGCCGCTCCGCACGGCTC